ATAAATCTCAAGGAATCTGCTATTTAGGAACTTTATTAATTAAAATTCCTATTTACATCTCATCAATTATACTCCTTCTGTCCAACAATATTCGTCCACTTCAGGGAAAAAGAATCAGAGTATTGTCCCCACGAAAGGATAGTTTGATTGGTGAACACGTTACATAAAGATTATAATGTCGAATGTTAAACGAGGACATGCTAATTTAATGATATACTTTGCTTCTAAATCCTGTTTGTGTTTTTTTTAAAAAAAATAAATCATTGTATATGTATAATTCAATCATTGCTGTGACACTTTAACTTTGTCATAGCAGACAACTAAACACTCCAATTTTAGGATTATGACACCTCAAGTTATCTCCACTGTGTCAGCTGAATACTCCAACTTACTATGTTACAGTTTGGCAGGAAATAAAAAAGACGAAGATTCTCAAGAGATAAAAAGAGTTTGGCTTTATATTTATACTCAATCACATGCATCTATGTCAAATGACAAAGTACTTGCTACAGTATCAAAAGTTAATCCTACACCTTGGAGTTGAGCCATGCCTAATACTGATCTCTCACTATTCCATCCAACGAAAGCCAAGCAGTAAAGCCCGCGATAGTGCACAACAACTCGTTGTTGTGCCAGAAACAACATTGTACTCGAGTTAACGCTCCCAAAGTACAACTTCACTACAGGAAAGTATAGATCGCGACCATTTGGATCTTCCTTATAGCAAGTGTCGAAAGGTTGGACAGGAATTTCAGCCATGGGAATATCATTCACTTCTTCTCTGAATATGTAACGGAATACAGTATAGAAATCATGAGGAAAAGCTGTATAACTTGTCCCTGTATCCACGAACATTCCACCGTTCATCATAGGTCCATTGAAATTCCACCACGAGGGGCTCACCGGAACCTCCCTATCGTTAATAAAAACTTTATAAATGTTTACAAAGTAAAACGAAGGGTACCTATAATTAAACAACAACTCTGCTGATTTTGCTCTTGGCCACTTGCTAGTTTGGAAACTCAGGACCGATCCTTTTCCTGAATCAAAAGATGGTAGACACATAGACATTAGGTTCCCCCCAAACTGCGATGGCAACGAATATCCATCTGTGAGATCGCGTCCAAGTCCAACAATCCCAGACGCAAAAGAAGTGAAATTTAGTTCACCGGTTTGATCTTTGCTACATCCAAATGTAACCCTAGATGACCAATGTCCTACGAGAAAAGTAATCACGTCGTCTGCTATAAAACCTTTTGTTTGTGAATTATCACCGTAATGCATATCATATCTACACTGAAAATTTTCTAGATTGCAATAATAGGCTGGATTTACAATCCTGCACTTGTTACCATGATGATTGCAACCGATTATTCGAAATGTTTTGGATACAGTAGAATCATAGAGAGGTTGATCTTGTTTGTAACACTTATTAGCCTCACATGGTCCACATTGCCACCAAATTAAATCACTTCCAGTGTCTAATAGCAAGTAATTTTTTGTCATTTGACTACCAATCAAAAAAGACGCGACATATTCGCCACTCCCATAGAAAATATCTGTTGATTTTGGGACCAGTTGGGGCGTCGTCTCACCATCTTGAGATTCAAGAACCGAAGCTAAATAACTTGCTCTAGCATAACATCGAGCAAATCTATTTTCAAGCAATGAGTCGTAGTCCTTGAATTTTGATTTTTCAAATACATCGCGATGGTGGACAGTAAAAGTATAGGATGGCATCGGAGGATCGGGAAGCTTAGTCGGATCAATAGACATAAATCTTTTTCTGGTTTGCATAATGTAAGTTGAGTTGAGGGGTGATAGAGAATTTGCATTTCCCAACACAACAAGTATTGATATCAAAAGGTGAAAATGGAGAAATTTTTCCATTTTTATTTTGCTAATTGCTTGAATTTGCTCATGTAAGTAACAAGAAACACAAAGTTAAATATAGAGATATGATTCTCTTTATATTTTGGTCAAACTTAAGGAAAATATTTAATTTAATAAAAGAAATTCCTAAAAAAAAGAACATCTAATGGATTTTATCCTATTTTGGAACTTTAAATATTTAATATGACCGAGATCTCACATACACACCTTAAATTTTTTATTCCAGCTTTGTTAGATTGGAAGTGGGGTATGAAACTGATTCATCAAAAGGTAGTTCCTCTGTTCCTTTTAAGTTGTCATACTTTCATTTTTCTAAGTAAAACGATATGAATTTCGACTAACAGATGAAGATGTACCTTTTCATCATATGACATGAAAAAAGGTAACAACTTGTAGTACTTTCGGTATAGTTTTTAAAAATATAAAATTTTATTTTAAAGCATAGAATTAATATGTTTTAATTTAGCTTAGAGAATTAGTCAAACTAACTTTGGAAAAACACAACATAACAATTAAAATTGAACGGAGGGAGTAATAGTAGATTTGGATACAACTTTAGATTGCAAAATTCACAAATTTTTCATTGATATTCAAAAGACAAAGTATCTGTTGCAGTATCAAAAGTTAATCCAAAACTACTATCAAAGTTTGAGAAAATAATTGAAATAAAAGGTGTGTACGGAGGAAATTCTCCATTATTTTTCGAATTGCTTGATTTGGTTTGAGATATTTCTACCACTCCTTGCACTTGTATATAAACAAGTTTATGTCTATATTATGTATATTCGATTCTCTTTGACCAACTCCAAATGTATTATATTTTTATATTCCTTATTAAGATATAATAAATTAATTTAGAATCAAAGACTTGGGTTAGGAGTCAAAGTTGAATCTCGAATCGAGGTTGAGTATCAAGTTAGGTGTTGTAGTCAAGAGTAGGTGTGAACGCCTAATTTTTGACGTCTTTAATAAATCCTACAATATATATATATATATATAGTAAGATCATTTTTCTTATTAATGCATTTTATTTATTTTGTTTTATTTTTATTTAGTAATTTTTTTACCTCAAAATGTTTAAATTTTGTTTCAATGAGCTGATTTTCTTTTGGATTTGAATGATTAAAATCTGATGCATTCTACTAAATGGGCCTGTTTTCTTTAAAAATTTCAAATGATCTATTATCTTTTATTAAATTAATGAATTAAAGAAAGAGCTTCCCCCCCCCTCCCCCCCCCCCTCTGTTAAAAGGGCAATGAAGTCATTTTCAATAGTCTTCTCTTAGAAAAGAAAAAGAAAAAAAAATCATTGGCTCTTTTGGGTGGACATTGGGGAGAAAAGAAAGTTTCATCGACAAGAAAAATATTCAAACATGCATTGGGTATTTAATTTTCGAGAAAAAAACATTATTTTCTTAATCTATTTAAACTCTTCTCTTCTTTCATTTTTGGGGGACGGATTTTCAAACAAAAAAATAGATTTGGAGGACGAAGAATGTGAGAGAGATTTTAGAAAGAAAAAACAGAAGAAGAAAAAAAACAAGAAAAATCATATATATTCCATCTTTGGTGGTCTTCGAATTAAATCAAACTTGCTTTCATTATTTGTTTGTCATCAACTTTAGGTATCTCTTCTATATTTCATAATGTAATCTTGAATTATTGTTCATGTTCTTTTCTATGTTTTGATACCATTGATCATCTCATCTAAAAACTTAAATTGTGAGAAAATACATATTTTTATTAGTTAATTATATTTTCAACATGCCCCTCGCGTACCGACCTGATTTTTTTCATAGCCAAGTTTCGGGGTGATATTCTCTCTTACTGATATATGGCCAAGGACAATATATTTTTTGAATTATCAAAAATTAACGCTACACATTGTAGTTGATTTACGCATAAAATCGAGAAGTTATTCTTTCATCCAATAAAAGCCAAGCAATACAACCCGCGATATTTCACCATAACGTATTCATGTTCTAGAAGAAACATCGTACTTTGGCTTACATAGCCAAAGTAAAACTTTACAACAAGAAACGGTAAATCATTATTACCATTTGGATTCGCTTTATAGTAAGTGTCAAAAGGTCCAATTGTATCTTTAATCATATAACACGCATATCTTTTTTGAACTTTCACCTAAGGGGGTTCACCTGAACTCCCTTATATCAATAATAAAAACTTTATAAAGGTTAACAAAATAAAATGTAGGGTACCTATAATTTGGTAACAATTTTGATGATATTGCTTTTGGTAACAATTGAAAATTGCAAAGAATATTCACCTACCTAAATAATTGTGACCAACTAGTTTGGTTACAATTATTTATATACTTGTTTAAATTTCTTGTAATTATGCCAAAACAGGAAAAATAATAATAATATGGTCGGTTATAGAGATTTAATTCTCTTTTAGAAGTCAATATTTATTTATTTTCCTTTTTAACATCTCTAAAATCACTAAGAAGATCAGAATTTGAAACCTTTTGATTTTAATATTATCAAAAAATGAAACACAATTAATTTTGCAATAAAAAAATTCCTAAATATAGTATTGCAAATATCATGGAAATATATGCTATTTAGGAACTTTATTTATGTAGTTTCACCATTCACATTGTATATTAAGAATTCATTGAGAAACAAATATTTATTTGATTTGAGATTAATTGTTGCCTCTCATTCACTATAATAGTTATTCAAATATATTAGATTCAAATCCATATTATCTTATATAACATAATTGAAATTAAAAGTGAACAACCAAATCAAATTTATTTTAGTTCAGAAAAAAATAACATTTTTCTCAATCGAAATCGAATAATACAAAGTTCAGCCGAAAAAATCAAATGTTTATCCCTAATTTTAGGAATATAACCATATGAATCTATAATGAGATGATAACATATACACGATTCGAACAAAAGAAAAATAACAATAAGTTGTCACGCGATTACCAATGCAACCATATTTCTAGTAACGTATACAAGATTCGAACCAAAGTTAAACAACAACATCTATAAATGTCCATATCTTTTAAATATTTCACTAATAAATAAAAGATACAAACTTTAAATTGTAACATTTTGATTAAATTCACAAATCTCAACTACATGCATCTAAATCAAATGACAAAGTATTTTCTGATGTATCAAAAGTTAATCCTATACCTTGAAGTTGATTACTTCCTATTATTGAATGAGATCTATTCCACCCCATGAAACCCAAACAATAATGTCCTTGTAAGTGTACCATAACTCTATCTTTTGCCAATAACAACATGTTATTAGGGTTTACGCCGCCAAAGTACAACTTCACAACGGGAAAGTACAACTCTCGTCCACTTGGATCCTCTTTAAAACATGTGTCTAGAATCTTCGACGGACCTTTAACCAGAGGTATATCTTTTATTTCACTTAAGAATGTATAACGAAATACGGTATACAAATCCTTAGGAAATCGAGTAATAGTTGTTCCTGTATCCACAAGGACTCCACCACCACCACCTTTTGTAAAAGTCCACCATGATGGGTGGACCGGAATTTCTTTATCGTTAATAAAAACTTTATAAAGATTGACATAATAAAATAAAGGGAAATTTTTATTTTGTAATAACTCTGCTGATGTTGTCCTTGGCCACGTGGCGCTGTGGAAACTAAGAGTAGATGACTTACCCGAATAAAATCCGGGTAGACATATGGACATTAAATCCGACTGGAATTGTGATGGTAATGAATATGAACCAACATTTACTCTTCGTCCAAGACCAACTATCCCAGAATAGTAACCACTAAAATTGGCTCGACCCATTTGATCTTTACCACATCCAAATGTAACCCTAATGGGCAGATGGTCTAAAGCAAAAGTAATCACATCATCACTCATAAAACCCTTTGATCTTTGTCCACTTATAAATCTAATATTGTAGTTACACTCATTATTATAAGAATTACATTTATAAGTTTTGTCCACATTATCTAAACACCTTGAACTATGTAACTTACAATCGATTTTTCGATATGTTTTCGAATTTGTAGGGAAATATAAAGGATCAACTTGCTTGTAACACTTATTTGCCTCACATGGTCCACATTGCCACCAGACTAAATCACTACCTGTGTCTATTTGCAATAAAGTCTTGATTTCGTTACTGCCTAGCAAAAAAGACGCAACATACTCACCATGTGCAAAATAAATACTTGTTGATTTTGGAACCTTTTCGCGGATTCTATAATTTGCACCTTCTTCGACATTGTTGTTGTCATCAAGAATTGAAGCGATATAATTTGCTCTATCCTCACATCGAGCAAGCCTATTTTTAAGTAACGAGTCATAGTTCTTAAACTTTGACTTTTCAAATACATCGCGATGGTAAATAGTAAAAGCATAGGATGGCATTGGAGGATCCAAAAGCTTAGATGGATCAAGAGACATAAATATTTCTTTAGCTTGTTTAATAAAAGTTGAGTTTAGGGGTGAAAAATAATTTTTATTGCCCCAAACTGCAAACAAAATTGAGAAAAAAATTGAAATGAAAAGGTGAAAATGGAATAATTTTTCCATTTTTTGTGTAGAAATTAGTGTATGAAAGGTACTTTGCAATAAGTTCACCACTACTTATAATCATTTATATACTGATTTAGTTTTATAAAAAATATTAAATGCTACGTCAAAAAAGGAAAAAACACCAAAAGTTTATTATAGAGATATGATTCTCCTAATGAGTCGTAGTTTTGAACAACTAGCAATTAAATCGTTTCTAAATAAGGCCATTATTATTATTATTATTATTATTATTATTATTATTATTATTATTATTATTCTATTACTATTACTATTATTATTATTATTATTATTATTATTATTATTATTATTATTATTATTATTCGCCCTAACAGCCAAAATGACCAATTTTCAAGATCAAACAATCCCTAGAGCAGGTAAATTTCCCATTTTGTCAATTTTTGTGTAATATAGTCCATGAATTTTGGTGATCCTAAATTTCGATGTTATTTTTGCCCAATTTTTTTTATTGACGTCCGTTATGATGCTAGTTGTGGACCCAGTTGCCACTGACAGCCAAAACGATCCATTCCAAGGTCGAATGAGTCCCAGAGCAGGTATACGGTATACCCCCATTTTGTCAATTTTCGTATGCTATATTCCATATATTTTTGATAATTTCGAATTCTAAGGTCACTTTTGCCCAAAAATTTTATAGACGTTCATTAAGACCTTAGCTATTTACCTAGTTGACCCTAACTGCTAAAATTGTCCACTCCAAGGTCAAACGTGTCACGAAGCAGGTAAACCTTCCATTTTGCCGATTTTCATATGCTATAGATTACCACCTTTTCTTGTGATCTAGAATTTCTACGTCATTTTTAAAATTTCTCATGAACCTTCGCTAATACTTTGCTATGGACCCAGTTAAGTTAACCCAGATGGTCTAAACGGTCCATTTTCAAGGTCAAACAAGTCCCCGAGTAGGTAAATCTCTCATTTTATCGATTTTCGTGTGCTATAGTTCACTATCATTTTTGGTGATCCAGAATTACGACGTCATTTTTTCGCAAATTTTTAATGGATATCCGTTAATATCTTAGCTATAGACCCAATTGGCCTAGACGGTCAAAACGATCCATTTCAAGGTCAAACGAGCCCCGAAGCAGTTTAACATCCATTTTTATCGATTGAAGCAGTTTAACATCCATTTTTATCGATTTTTGTATGCTATAACAAATGTAGAAAAGATTGTTTATGGAAAAAAGAAATCTAAACCCCTCATTTTTGAGTGCTAAACAAATGTAGAAAAGATTGTTTATGGAAAAAAGAAATCTTGTAAAAATACGTCTACCGAAAATCAAACCCAAGTCTATTGCTTGAAAGTCATTTATCCTAACCGTTGGACTACAAACACACATCAATTATACCTCTAAGATATAATATTTCAAATAGAGAAAAAGATTTGATAGAGCTGATATATCTCCACTGTTATACAAATGGTTCACGTAATTTTGCTCTAGCGAAAATGAAAAAATAAATTTAATTATTTGCTCTAAAAGATAATATTTGATAGACGTTGTCATTGTTGATATAAATCGACATTAAGAAAATAATTGGTTCAGTCAAAAATATCAACAATCATGTATAAATTTGAATAGGTTCGATTTATATAATTATTAAGGAAATTATCTATTAAATTTATCGAATTGTTTTTATCGACCTTAATCATTTCATCTCTCTTTTTTTAAAAAAAATAAATAAATATTATGCTTGACTTGCTTAATTTTCATTTTGAACTTTTCAAAAGGAGAAGATTGAAGTACTACATTATTGATTATATGACCAAGTCAAGAAAAAGAGTCCCTACACCATTTATTATTGATATAATTTTCCGTTCTTGAATACTTCATTTTTCAAATATAAGTTTAACTAATTTAGAATTGAGGTGTTTGAAAGCTACACATAAAGTACGATCAAATTGTAATAATATGTATTAAAGTTTATATAATTTGACTCTATAAAAGAAAGACGACAAATAATTTGAACAAGAGAGTAATTATTGTAACAACATTTATCCAACACAATACATAAAAAGAAAAAGACAAAAGAGAGCAAAATTCATATGCATCAAGCACTACTAAGAAAATGATATACAAATTATATGTAATCATCTGATATCGGAAATCCACTCCATTGACTAATGCTTATTGGTGCAGTATGAGAGGAAATTGCTCGATACGATCCCAAACAAAAATATCTTCATTTCTAGGACTCGAACCGAAATATAATTACAAATTTTCCTCTTTTATACTTTGCTATACTCAAAACTCCCATCCAATTCAACTTCCTCTTCTCCATGGTTCTTCTTGCAATGAGAGTATAACACAGTATATGCCACTACTAACAATAAATTAAACAAAGAAGAAATAATAACCAGAAATATAGACATAATTATCTGGTTAATTACCCCTTTATTTGGTTTATTAATCTTCATAAAACATAGGAACAAGGATGATGAAATTATAGAAAATGAAATATTTAACATAAATCCATTTAATCTATTCCCCTTAATGAGTCTTCCACCTTTAGCTATGGCTTTAATTCCATAACAATCTTCTTCAATTACTGAAATAACTAAAGCCAATATCCAAACAATTGATAAATATAGAAAAAATAGGAAAGATATTATTCCAACAAAAATTCTTATAGAGATAAGGAAAATATTGCTAGATGAAACAAAAATAGGACTTAATAAAAACAAAACAATAAAAAAGTAACCAATACCTAACATGTTTGTGTATAATCTAGTTATAAATGCATATTTAAATGCCTTTGAGATTTTTAAAACAAGTTGTTTGAGAGAAATATTGATATTATATGATAATATAATTGTTGCAATTGTGTATAGAAAAGAGATTAAAGATAGACTAATGAGAATTGCAACATATATAATTAGAATAATTCTAAAATCCTCCTTAATATCAGCAAAAATTTTCATGACTTTAAAGGTATCATCAATTGAAGTAGATAAAATTGATGCCTTTAAAATAATATCATGGAACAAGAATTTAAGTTCAAAATTCAAAATTGATAAAAGGGTGGAAGAAAATAGAATATTAAGAAAACATGTTAATGCAAATAGTTTTCCATTTTTTGGAATTAATTGAAGGGATTCTTTGAGAATTGAGAGAAATCCAAAAATATGATTAAACTCCATTGATAATTTTATGAGTCTAATTCTTTTTTGTTTGGATTCAACTATAGAATGATGAGCTTGCTATTTATATTGCTTTTTTATATGTTTGATTGGTGAGATATTATTAATTTATTGGTATCATAAAACTCCATTCAAGTTTATTAAATTAATAAAAATATTAAAATGTGTATTGAGTCAAACACATTTTAATATTCTATGAATTGAAGTGTAGACCACAAGAAGTTGGGCTACAATTCCTATTTTATAAGTTAGTCAAAATCTTTCATTATTTTTTAAAATTTTGTACATTTTTTTAATCTTGCGATATCTTAATATTTTTTTACGCGTCTCAATACGATAGAGTTATCAGAATGTGTTAAATAAGTTAAAAAATATTTCAAAATAATTTAAAATGATAAAATAATAAAATCTTAATTTAATTAAAATACGTATCTAAAATTTTAACTATCCTAATTTATGAGATATTTGTGTCTTATCCCTCGTACTTTCTCGATGGAACTTTCACTATTCTATGAATTAACTCCATCTTTGTATATTTAATATTATATAATAAAGGAGGTATAATTTTAATTAGTGAAAGTCAAGTATAAAAAATATGCATGTGAAGAAATTAATGGGTTATAATATAAAATATGTTACATAATTTACTTAGTTTTACTTGTGTATATATATAATGTATTTCTTTCATATGATTAATAATATTATATAATTAGTTGAAGCAAGTTATACGAGAAATAAAAAGTTAAAAGACCCAAGAAAAATGATTCCACTTAAGAGAAGTTAATTTTTTTTAAACGGAAAATATATTCTTACAAAAATAAAAAATTTAATGTAATAACGGAATTTAATTTTTATTAAGTCAAATTAAAGTATAAAAATAAATATAACATATATTATATTTTTTAAAAGTTTTTTTTTACTCATCTATATATATAATGTAATTTTTCGTGAAAGAATATAGTTAATTAATTAATATTATCAGAAAATTGGGAAGTGCTTTGATTAATATTTTGAGTACTAGATATTAATACTAATAATGTATATATATTATGTGAAACAGGTAATATGAAAAAATGGTTATAAGAAAAATATTTTCGCTTATAAATTAGAGAAGTCATTTTTCTTTCTGAAAATATTTTCTTTTATAAAATATAAAATTATGTAATATAAAAATATAAATCCATTTAATCTGTTCCCCTTTAAGGCGCTTTTGAATTTTCTTTTTTAAGTCTTCCCATAATATTGGTCGAAAGAAAAAAGATAATGGAAACAAAAATTTGGGCGAAATTTGATTGGAATGGTAAAATACTATATTTCACATTATCTTATTTTATATTTTTAATTAATTTTACTTTTTTATTTTTAATATTTTTTAATTAAAAATAAAAGAAATGATCAATTTATTATAGACTTTTTAAATTTCTGACCAAATTTCTGATCAAATTCACTATTTTTATATAGTAGTAGCACCACCACCACTCTTAAATTCAAAGAAATCATTCAATGATGTTAAAATCAAACTTTAATTTCAAAACTCAATGTAATTCTACTATTGAAGTTTGAAAATAATAATATATATGTAACTAAATTTTAATTTAATATAGAAAAATATATTATTTTCAATCAATTCCCACCACAAAATTTGTATGAAAATGTCAAATTTAGTCCGTATATAATAAGTTCCTCAAGGAACTTGTCAAACAAGATTGATATATTTAATAGATAAATGAATGTTTATTTCCTAGAAATTACTATAATTGACTAAGGACTATAATCTTTTGACCTTTTCGTAGTTGGTTTTGTCTTAATCACAATTAATTTAATTTTCAAGAGATTTAAGTCTATAAAAAAATTTTTAAAAAAAAGTCTATTAAAACCATAAATAACAGTAGGAACAATTTTTCTGATGTTATAAAATTTGGCTTAAGAAAAATATTCATTTTATTTTTATTTTTTTTAAAAATATTACTCACAAAGTGCACTCTTCAAAATAAATAAATTTTGAGAGTTCGATAAAATAAAATAAAAATGCACAGGTACTTCTAGGCTAAGATAAAAATCTTAGAGACACACCTTAACTAAACAAGGTCCTATTATCCTCAATGAATCTAATTTTTTTTATAATTTTATACACCTTTTGTTTTATGTGGCACGTTCTGTGACTCCACGCTATTGAGGCGCGTGAGAGATATTTGGATGCTACGCAAACCAAAAAGATGCACAAAATGACCAAAAAAAAACAAGTTCAGGAGGTAATAGCTACTTAAAATAGTTCAGATGTGTCTCGAAAATTTTGATTATAGACTAGGAGGATATTTGTGCATTTTTCTAAAACAAATGATTAAGAACAAATTAGCTTAGAGAAATTATTCTTTTTAATGTTATATTCCTACAACTTTTTAAAAATAAAGATAAATTTCATATAATAACTTTATATAAAGATATTTACATATATCAGCCTAGAGTAGGACTACTTCAAACAAAGACCTCATATAAATAAAATAAAAACAACATAATTCTACTTCCATTGACAACTTCAAAAAACTTTATAGTTTCAAAATTCAAATATGCTTATATTATGTATATGTATGGATTTTGAATTAAAAGTACAAAAAATCCAAACTCACTATCTAGATCTCCTCAAATCATACTATCCAAAAAAAAATCAAGAAAAATGGATTTTTTTTGTAAGTTTTTTGGTTTTGTGAGAATTTTAAAAGAATCCATTCAACTTATTCCAAAAAATGGAAAAATCATGGGATTTATTACCATTTTTTATCTTCTTTTCACCTCAATATTTTTTTTATTTTTCAAATTCACCTCTGATTCTTTGTTAAGAGATATATTTATCAAAGAATCTTTCATTCCTATTTCTAGTATAAATGGTTCTTCACTAAGTAATCTACTTTCTAGTATTAACAAAAATTTAAAACTTGTTTTAGCCATTGATTTTTCATTAATTTTTTCCTATTTATTCATCTCAATTTTCTCCACCAACACAATAATTTTAATTTCTTCTATATCATACTACAATAAAACTTTAAATTTCAAAGATTTAGGTATCAAGATTTTAAAATCATGCAAAAGGCTTATTTTCACAATGTTTTACACCACAATTATTGTTATTGGATATTTTTTCTTTTGTTTTTCCATGGCAACTCCTTTTTTAGCTACCTCTAACTTATATGATTTTTCAATGGTTATTATTTTCGCGATAATCGCGTACATTATCTATCTCTATTTATCGATCGTTTGGGTAATGGCCTTAGTAGTTTCAATTGTTGAAGAAGGTAATTATGGAGTTATGGCTCTTGGAAAAGCTAGAAAAATAATTAAGGGAAATGAGATGAAAGGGTTTATTTTAAATGTTGTGTTCAATTTATTGGCTTTAGTTATTTTTTGGGGTACTCAAATTATTATTAAGAAATGGAGTGTTAACAAGAAAAATTCAATGTTGATTTTGGTTAATGGTTCTTGTTTATTGAAGGTGTTTGAGTTAGTGAATTATACGGTTTTATATTTTCACTGCAAGAAAGAAAAAGGGGAAGAAGAGGTAATTGAATTACAAGAAAGTATTGAATATAGCAAAATATATAATTTACCATTAATTATTGATGCTACAAATTAATCGAAATCGATCGTTGTAATTGTTAATTTTTGCAAGAAAGCTAAGTCCTATAATATGAACGAGTCATCAATTTGTGTCGATATTGACTATGTACTTTTCAATGAGAATTGTCAGCTCGAGTTGATTAGATCTCAATTATTTGTAAAAAAAAAAAAAGTAAAGAAAAATGAGTCTAGCTCAAGTTGATTATGTAATTTGTAATAGGTCAATATTTATGGGGAAAAAAAAGCTTTGAATTTCAGATTAGATTACTCTAACCATGTTCAAATTTGATTTTAGAAATATAATTAAGTTTGTCAATATCTCTTAGTCTTGCGATCGTGTGCTTTGGTTCGTGTTTAAATAAGGGAAAATGCACGAGTATTCTTTTAGACTATGATCGAAATTTCAAAGACATATCTTAATTAATCTAAGGTTTTATTATTCTATGAATTTTATTTATTTTTTTTAATTTTGTGCACCTTTTTGGCTTACATTGCATCCAAGTATTTCTCACGTGCATCAATTGCGTAGAGTCACAGAGTGTGCCATGTAAGACAAAAGGTGTACAAAATCAAAAAAAGAATAAATTTAGGAGATAATAGGACCTTAGTTTAGTTAAGATTTATCTCTGAAAATTCGAACATAGTCTAGAGAGTACTTGTGCATTTTCCCTTAAATAAATGGTGAAATACTTAATTAATAGCCTATAGAACATCAATTATTTTAAGAATTCTTGAATCTTTCATACAATAAGAAATTATTCATGTCCTACTGGGAGCGCCATCTGCGAATGGATTCAGTAGTGCGCGATTCAGATTTAGTCAAAGTTTCGATGTGGGCTTCGAATAGTTAGATTGAAGTTCATTTCTCTTATCTCGAATACAACCCTATCAACTACACTTGGATACATCCCTTCCCTCTCGAACACGTTCAGTGAGCTATATCCGCATATTTATGTAATTTTTACTTTATCTTAATAAATCCCATTAGGGTTTGATGGTAGAATTTGAATAATGTTTTGTATTATTCAAATTAATATTAATGGGCTAAAGTCTAGGTCCTTAGAATTAGGCTCTTGTCTTTGTTTTGTTGTCAATTTGGCCCATGTGCATGTCCTTTAGGATTTCTCTTAAGGCCCCTTGATTTCTCTTATTATTCCTTTTTAGCTTTTCAACTTTTTTTAAAATTGGGAGCAAAACAATATTAATTAGTATTATGATGATAAGGGTAGCAATAATAATGAAGATGTTAATGGTAATAGATTACACTAATGATAAACAAGAAAACAATTATAATTATAAGAATATAAATAGTTAACTATCCGCGATTAAAGTGAATACTAAAGATGATATAGTAATAATAAACAACTAATAAATATATATCAAATGAAAGTGAAGGTACAACAACGACAAATGAAGCTAAAATAAATAATAATTTCTTGAAAAAAGATATTTAAAAATTAATATCTACACATATATGACCTATTTCGAGACTCGCTATAACACAGTATCATTTAAAAGTTATTTATTTACCACAACTCTAGGGTAAACTTAATCACATAATTGTCTATTTTTAAAAGCTTAATAATTTAAAACAACTAAATTGGAGTTTTACTTGTAGAGTTCATGTATATACAATGGAAGTTCATAACTACAAGGATTTCATTGCAAAAAATATATATATTATTTCTTAAGAAAATTCTTTTAGTGTTGTCCTTTTTTTTACTTTTCAAAAGTCTCCACTTGCCAAAAAAAGGTTCACAAAAATAATCCTATTTATAAATTTAGTGGCTAAAATAATGGTAAATCTTTCATGACTTGAATGACAGTTATTTTACCCCAAGCACCATTGATTAAGTTAATTGAGTAGGTAATTTTCCAAATGAAGAGTTATAAGTTTGAAACTTTTATATACTTTTTTGATTGTATAAACTTGCTTAGTATAATTTACTCCTATAATATAAGTTTATTTAGCGCGAATTTTCTTTTACTTTATCATTTAGAAAAAAAAATTCCAAAAAATATTGAGAACTTATTGAATAAAAATGTATGATTTGGAACTTAAATTTCTTTTATTATTTGTAATTAAAAAAGTATTCTATTTTTGCACAAAATATAATTAGTAAGAGAAATTAACATGTCCTAATTATAACAACTCAAGCTTCAAGCTTAACTAACTAGTTGAGGACTATTAATTTATGGTGCCATTGCTTTATATGTTCTAAATTAAGTTGAAATTCGATGTACTGATACAATTTTTTATATATATTCATATATTTCTTATTAGTTTATCTGAAAAGTGTTGATCCAGTGATGTTCTTCATTTTAATTTATGTGACATTATTTTAAATAATTTTTGAATTTATTTACTTAAATTCTTTTTTTATTTGATTTGGCCACCATCACTTTTTTGTATATTAACCTATTTATCGTCATATATTTATATAAAAAGATAATGTCAATTTAAGGACATGTTCATGTATTTAATAAATAAGAGATAATAATTGGGTGTCCTTTTGGTTCAATTTAAATTTTACTATATGTAGTATATGCATGCATTTGTATAAATTTGATACGTGACACAATTGAAGATTGTTTTCCTAAGTTATTATCCACTGAAATCACGAAATTAAATTTGCATAGAATTTTATACAAATACACACTTCGAAAAAAAAACTCACACAATTTGAGAAGTTCATAATTAAGAAAAATAATTAAAATTTAAATTTTTTTAATGATATTCTTGAATTTCGAGCTAAGAAAAGTGAATAAGAACTCTTTATTACTGAGTCATAATATTATTCCCATGCATATTTAAAGTAGACATGACTAACTTTTTATCATGAGAGAATATGATTCTCTTAAAAGAATTTTGGAACCAAAAATATTTGGAACAAAATCCAATAAAAATGGTTAAGAGTTTTTTTTTTTCTTTTTTTGTTTAAAATCATTTTAAAATTCTTACTTTTATTTTGAAACAACGTAGGATATGTTCTAAAGACACAACAACATGAGAAAGACAACACATGAATGACAAAGGCACAATAATAAAGGACCTAACTTTGAACTCGTAAATTAAGAACGAAGAAATTTCGAGCATTATATAAATTTATATATTTATTTGAATTTATGCCTTCATTGAACTTGGTACAATACGAAAATATTTAATAGACGAGTATACATACATTTATCTTTCAAACGAAAAGAAAACTTGGCTTTTGCCTTCAACATTGAAATTCATCTCCCAATCGATCTTCTAAAGCTGAAATGAGTAGATCCAGAGTTTAATCTGGAATTCACTTGTTCTGATCCTTGTCTACAAAACAGTTATTGTTGCATATCTCGAACTCGATAAACTAAATGAACTATGATAAAATTTTGAACTTTTAAATTTATAAAATTCATATTCAGTATTCGACTTATTTACGTCGTAAATACGAATCTACATCTTATACTAATTATAACAATACTACATACAAATATATATATTTTTTTTAGACTAAACTAATTTCACTATCTCTATCACTTTTTGTTGAATCTCTTTTTTTTAGATCAAAGTAAAAAACAGTTGTAACAATAAAGCTCCATTGAACCATTAAACCATACAAAAAAATCCAAACCACATTATCCCACAACAAGTTAATCACAACCGTTGATTCAATCCTCTTGAAATCCGAACCGTCCATCGCCATCGCCATCGATATTTCCATCGTGCCACGAACCAAACCCGAAAACAAAACAAATAACCCGGATAAAACCCACCCGCATACCCGTTTACCCTCCATCAAATCCGACCCGACCCGAATAGCATCCAACCCATACATTCCTTCGTTGACCGATACCACGAGCGCCAAGCTAGTAACCGCCATCATATGGAGCTCCAAACCCGACCCGATAACCTCAACAACCACCCGAACAAACGGGCGGGTCTCGAGAATCGCCACGAGCATCCCGGGCACGACGGTACACGCAAGCATAATCACGTAAATACACATCGTAGTAGCCCCGACCCGTATCCAAACAGTTTTTACTACGGTAAAAACCGTTTGGATAGCCGGTTTTCCGTTGGAACATACGGAAAACGTGACATTTACCGCGGTAACCGCGGTAAAAAGGGAGAGTAAAAAAGTAGGAAAGAGAAACAAAATTTTAAAAAATAGTAAAGACCTAGCTTCTTCATTTGCTTCTTCTAATAGATGTTTGGACTCAACATGTATAGATGAAAATAATGATATTTCTTCAAGATGTTGAATTCTATTTTTAAAAGGGAAAGTTAGGAAGGATAATAAGAAGAGAAAAAAAGAAAGTGGAAATGAAAGGAAAAAGAAAATTAAAAATGAAATTTTTTTGGTGGAAAATAGAAAAATTTTGAAGGAATTAATGATAATTTTAGCAAGAAGAAATATATTATTTGGTTCTTGAGAAATATGGTCGGAATTTTCTCCGGTAGACATTTTTATAATAATTTTTTTTTGTATTTTTTAAAATTTATTTTTGTAGGTTTTTTGGTTGGAGGTTATAATATAAGATTTGAAAAGAAGGATGGAAGTGGATTGTGGACCTATTATATAGTGTAATAATATGACTATTTGCTTTTTGGAATTGTGGAAATATAGTATGGATATCTTCTTTTTTTTCTTTTTCTTTTTCTTTTTGTTGAGTTTACAAAATATAATTACCTAAAATTGACATGAGTTGATAGTGTTTTGACTATTATGGTCTTAGGTTTATTTATTCATTTTTTAAAAGGTAAAAACGTCTCAAAAATATTTTAACTTTACCTGAAATCGTTGTTACGATATTAAATTTTTTAGATGATATGTTATTACTGTACTATTTAATAGTTTATTTTAAAAGTGTATATGTACTCACGTGGATATATTACTATTTAAAATGATGCAATATTTAGAATGTCCACATAAACATATATATACCTTTAAAATACACTATTAAATAGTACAGGGAGTATAAAAGGTCCTTTTCAAAGTTTGATATCGTAACAACAATTTCGATCAAAGTAGAAATATTATTCCGACTCTTTTCCCCCTTTTAAATTATAATACTTCTATTGTTTTAATTTATATGACAAAAAGTTTAAAACAAATTTCTGAAACTTGTGATCTAAAATAAATTATACATATTTGTGGTCGCTATTATCATCTTATTAGGGATAAAAATAATTATTCTAAAGTTAACTGTCGCTAAATATAGAAATGTATTATTTATCTTTTTGAAACTGACTAAAAAAAGTGGAGTAATATTTAGTATGCAGGAAAATGTTAACTAGATTAGTTTAATTTTGGGGTATATTTCAAAATAGTTGATGTGATAGTTTAAAAAACGTAAACACTTGATAATTCAGATAGAAAATGTAAAAAAATGATACCTAATTTTTTATTATATTTTAAAAGAGATAAATTATAAATATCAAATATTCTTATATTCAAATTGCAAAATGTTTTTATTAAAAAAAAATAAAAATACAATATATATTGTGGACAAGAGGGAAGAAGTGAACCATCCATTTAGATATTTCCAAATTAAAAGGAGGACCTTGTAAGCTTTTGAAATAAATAACATGTTAATATCATAGGACCACGTTTGTCTCTTTTGCTTTAATAATAGTGTTGTGGGTAGCTATATATATATATATATTTATTTATTTATATATATATATATATATATATATATATATATATATATATA